GTTCTAGAAAGTAATTAAGGACGAGGTGTCTTTGTTATAGACAAAATAAAGATTCCATTTTGTGATCTATATAGTTAATTTGCTTTTTGGAAAATATACACTAGAGGTTTAAATCTCTGGCTGAAGCAAGAGTACAGTTGGTAAAAAGAAGATGGAGGAAAAATACTCTTGCAAGGGAGTTCAGAGACATCTAGTGGCTGTTAAGAGTATACTGATTGCTTTTCTTGGAACATGAAATAAGGTTATGAGGGTCTACATTTATGTTCATATTACAAATAGTATAAGATTTTCTTTACATTTTGAATCTCATTCTACTGCTTTAGTTTAATGATCCCAGAAGTTGACATCAGCATTAAGCTCTCGACCTTTTAAAAAAATTACTGAATATCACTGAAATAAAACTCCGAATTCAATAAGTGATCCATCACACAAAAAGGCATGCATGTTCTAAAACATGATTCACTGACAAATGTAGTTAGGCAATTGTCTTTTATAAGGTGTTGGTGTTGCCTTGAATTATGTCATTAAACACATAAAACTGAAAATGCCTAAAAATCTTAAATGTGTGGCTATGGAAAGTGTTCTCTGCTAAACATCACCACAGATGGACTGAACTAGATGGCATCTTAAAAGGCCAATTCACAGCCATTGTCTCTAGACAGTCTAAATAAAATTTCATTTTGTTGGGCTAATAGAAAAGCTATTCTACATTGCTCTTCAATAATCCACTTCAATGATCCAAAGAACCCTATCAAACAGCCCTTTCTTACATCTAACCTCAATCCTCATGCTACAGATTGTCATCTTCTTAAATTTTTTCTCAATTCTTCCTACTGTATCTTGGTAACATATACATCTCTTCATATTCTTTTGTAAAAGTACAGCACTTTACATTTAGCCCTAGTAAATGTCATGCTGCTAGATTCACCTGAACCACTATTCCAATTGTTCTGGTTCCTTGTGGATCCTGGCTCAGTCTAAAGTATTCGCTAGCTCTCCTGACACTACATCATCCATAAATTTGATGGGCACATTACAATGACATAATCTGTATACTCTGAATTTGTGTTAAAAGTTTTCATATCTGATCTTCCAAAGTTTATGTCAAAATTAATGTCCTCAGTAGAACAACTCATTTTTTTTATTCAACTTGGACTAAAAATATAAAATGAGTCAAAAATATAAAGCACTGTTTCATACTCTAATGAATTTTTAGACAACAAAATATTCATGATAAATAGTAATTAGAAAAAAAGTATGCTATTTTATGATTAGTCATAAATACACTGTTTGTTCCTGGTTGCTTTTAATTTTCGGGACACATAAATCTATTTTTGTCTTAATATCCTTGGCTGACAAAAGATTGACAATGCCAACATTGAAGATGTGCTGCATGTATTTCAATATCATCATGAACACCACTATTAAATAGCACTAGAATTTAACAGAAATTTATATTTGAAAGTAATGGAGGAAATTGTAGAAGCTAAAATAATGTTTTACTTAATTATTCAGTTTCATAATATCCTTGCAAAGACTCAACTTAGGCAACAATTCCTTTTCATTAAAATAAATCCTTAAGCGACAGTCAAAGGACGGTTTGACAGTGGGAAAGTGACTTAGAAAATTACGGCCAATAATTCCCACTAGGCAGATCCTGGGAGCAGCTGTGAGGCCTAGACCAGTTACAGCGGCAGGCGGATCCCAGCCAGGGCCCCCTCCCCAACACCAGAGGCTCCCGCACACACGCCCAGGCCAGGAGCCTGCTCAGAGAGGAGCTGCAAGGGCACGCGGACTCCCGCATGAGGCCCTCCATTCCACCCCTCAGTGTGGGCAGATCCCGGGAGCAGCTGTGTGGCCCAGACCAGCGTGGCTGCAGGCAGATCCTAGCCAGGGCTCCACCCCGACCCCAGAGGCTCAGGCACACCCGCCCAAGCCAAAGGCCCGCCCAGAAAGGGGCTGCACTGGCACACAGGCTTCAGCCAGAGGCCCGCCATACCTAGAGGACAGCTGTACAGGCACACAAGCAATACCCAGAGGCTCACCCCGATACCACTGATAAGTGCAAGGAGACCCTAGCCAAAGCCTGTGCAGACAACAGGAACTGGGGTCCACAGCCCCCAGCCAAAGGCCCTCCCAGACAATAGCTACAAAGGGGCCCCAGCCAGAGGCACGCCTAGATACCATCACAAGTGTGCTCAGGTCCCAGCCAGAAATAAATAGGACACACATGTGTAAATACCAAATAGTTTCTCTAGTTTGAGAAACTGAAAGTGTAAATAAGGACTAAAAGGACATGTGAAATAGGAAGAAAAGGGGCAAAGGGGAAGGGGAAGTGGGAGGGGTAGGGGAAGAGAAAGAAGGGAATGGAATTAATATAAGAAAAAAATGGAAATAGTCTTTGTAGATAGAGAGAGGTGGAGGGGTTGAAGGGAGGGCAGGGGAAGGGGAAAAAATAAGAACCAAGAGAGACTAGGTAAAGGTGCAAATTTCCAATGATGAATGTCATTATATTGTATACCTAAAATGTACCAATGTAATTAATAAAAAAAAATAATTCCCACTAGGCCTCCCACAAACTGACCAGTAAATAATCTAAACAGACAAGCCGCTCTCTCTCCTGAAACATGGCTTCAGGCTGAGTTCCTCAGAACCTGCTCTTTGGTATCAGTTGTCACCTTAAATCCTTCCTCTGTAGAAATTGAATACAACTATAATGTTAAGAAACTACCATGAAATAAGAAAAACAGTAATTAAAACTTAGGACCTGAGCCCCTAAAAACTTTAGGTTATAATTTTCCTTGCTGAGATTAGCTCAATCCCAGGTATGAAATCAGATTCTCACTTCCCAGGGAAACTGAGAACTTGAGCTAAATATTTACCAGCTGAAACAATGTGTTTTGAAGCACATGTATCAAGTCATAGTCAGGATTAACTTAGTGTTTTCTTAGCTCTTTGGAAGTTGAGAGGCATTTGTAACCCAATTTTCTCAGTTTCTGGTTATTTGTAACTATCTAAGTCCATCCTTGTCAATTAAGAAAAAAAATTATTTCTAAGAGAGAAGAAGGAGAATAAATCTTAGTTATGCTGCTGATCTTTTCCCTGAAGGATGTTATAAAGATATTATATCAAGAAGCTATCTAACACAGAGACTTGCTAATGATGTTCATATGGCTCTTTCATTAACACCAGGGAAAAAGTAGTGCATCCTCCCTGCAGAGGGGTCTGCTAACTTCCTGATCCTAATTCATTGCAAAGGACTCTGGCATATTGATTCAGTGCACTTGATTGATTATGAAAGGAAGACAAATTATGCACATATATGCGATTTAGCCTATTTAGATGTTATTTTTATCTCATTCCAGTAGTCTTGGCCAATGAAAAGTATTGAAATAAAGGTGATATATTAAATTCATGTGTATCCACTGTAGCAGCACATATCTCTCCCCTATGCTTTCTAAGGTTCATGTATGAAGCCCCTATAACAAACATGTTAATAATAAAAAGTATAAAACTTGGTTGATGTATTGTGTAATAGAAGCCTCCATAAGGAAAAATATACCTGAAGTAACAAACAAACTGCGTATTTTAATGCTAGGTTTGATAAAGAAGTGGACAGTCAAGAAAAGGACAATTAGATAGAAACATTATCTAGCGATAAGAAACTGGGGGAAGCATAGCAAACCCTGTTTGTTCTGATTGTTCCTGTTTCTCCATCTTCAAAAGATATTCTTTTCCTTTGGTGTTATGCTTAGTGTCTAGATGTCTCCCCAAAGCCTCATGCAGTCTTAGGTGGGGCTTTTTCAGAGGTAGCTGAATCTAGAGTGTGTGGCTGATTCATGGTGCAATGTTAGGCTCAAGGGCACTAGGATTAAGGGTGCCAGTGCCACCTACCCTAAGTAGTCTGAATAAAATAAAAAGGGCAGAATGATGTTCTTAAATTCCCTTGTGGTTTTTGCTGTCAGCCACTGCCATGAACTATTGCCCTTCTGCCATGTGCCACCCTGCCTTGGAGCCAGCTGACTATGGACTGAAACCTCCACAAACTGTGAGCTAAATAAGCCTTTCCTTCATTTAATAAATAAATAAATAAATAAAAACATATCCTTAAGCCATTCACACTGTCTCAAGTATCACGTGGTTAATTCAAAGGGGGAAAATGTACCTTTAAAGTGGCAAGCTCTTGGGATCAAAATATTAACAAAGTGGCTATGTAGCATCACCAGTTGTATGACAACCTGACATAATACTCCTCAAGATATGCTACAATAAAAAGCCCAAAACATCACTTCTGTAACATTCTTACCAAAGACACTGAGCCTAAATCTAACAATGAACAAATGATGAGGTACAGTGTTGGAGATTCTACAAGGCAATTAGTCTGGACATTTGTTATGAAAAAAAGTAGTGGATTAAAAAAAGACAAAACATATCCAACAACCAAATGCAATACATGATCCTTTTTAAATCATCAATTCAAAAAATAGCTATAAAACACATTTTGGTGACAACTAGAATATTCTTTTCATGGACTTTATACTACATGACACTACTGAATCTATGTCAACATTCTCAGATGGGATCAAAGGAATATGTACTTATTTTTAGGAGATACATGCTTAAGTATTTAGAGGTAAACATTCATGCTGTCTGCAACTTATTTTTAAATGGTTCAGAAATATAAATAAACATTTATAAATATAAAATATGGATATATATTTCTGAACGTAGACTATAAGTGTGTTTCCATATTTCTGAGTATAAAATATAGAGTGCATATGTATATATAGATTCTAGGTGTGTACAAGTATGTATATACTGAAAGAGAGTGGGAAGGAGGAAGAGAGAAAGAGGGAGAGACAGAAAAAGAGAGAGAGAAAGAGTGTAACAGAGACAGACAGAGGAAGGTGACAAAATTCTAAGAATAGGACAATCTAGGTGCAGGATATATGATGTTCAAAATTTTTCAAACTGAAAATGGTAACAAAAAGAATACATACCATGGCAGTTCTAGACTTGATAAACCAGTCAAATCTAAACTGGGGAGCATTCCGTACACACTGCCGTAATTCTTCATACACATTTTCTCTATCAAAGCCCATTTTGTGTAACATACAAATCAAGAATCTATCTTCTTCCTCAGTATAGTTCTTTCCTTTGCTGGTTCCATATTGAATACGCAACTGATGAAATGGAGCCTTGTATCTTGCGATCTGTGTATATCAACAAAATAGTGCTTTTAATTGGATATGCAGCAAATCAAAGCTAATCATCAAATTGAATAAAATTATCTATTAAGAATTTGGCACAAAATATAATACTTTGGCATCCAGGGCTTTCTTGATACTGATCCTTCGTTGAATTCTTGCTTCTCCACGTTCAATTTGAGCCATAATTTTCTCAATGTCCTGTAGTTCACTGCAACGTTCCCAAAATACAGCTGAAAGACAGTTATTATTTTAAATTGCTATCATTTAGGCAGATCAATCCAAGAAATTATAGAATAAAGGATAGGAAGAATACAGTGAACTTATACTTTTTAAAATTAGGATTCAAATGTATGTATATATATATATTTCAATTATTAAATACTAACATTTCATTTAAAAATAAGAGCTCAACAAGGTTTTAAGTTAGCAATTTTCCTCTCGTAAAATACAGAATATTTAATTACTCACACTGAATGACTAGGATTTCAAATGATGCTACAGATACTGATTTAACCTAAGCTTTTTACTCAAACACAATAGAGAAGGGACCAAATACATAAAGTGAAACAGAAGAGGGAAGCATATAAAAATGGATGTAGCTACTTAGCAAGCAACAATGAAAATGAAATCCTTATCGATAGGTCAAATTTCTCCTACAAAGAAGCAATTTCTACTGAAACTATTACTTGCTTCTGAAATGACTAACTAATCTTACAGTATTTCCAGTGACCTACAGCTTCTTTAAATCTCACTGGGATTTCAACTGGATACATACAGAAGAATATTCAAATTACCAAGTCACCCAATCAAATTTCACAGATGAGCCAAATAATCTGCTGCATTAATATGTCACTTTGTGTGACTTCAGTGAAAGGCCTTCTAATGGCATACTCTACATTCTCAAATTCTTCATTTTTAGAGCCTATCAAGAAAGGTATGTTAGCACTCTCTGATTTTTATAAGCACCTGTATTCATTATTTATTCATTCAACACATATTTAAATGCCTGCTATGTATAAAATACTGTATATTCATGAATAGCTAATTGCACACATTTCTTCTATTACTGAAACCAGCTACATAAGCCCATTCCAAATATCCAACCTGGTGGGCAGAAATTAAATAGTCCTGAGGAAGTCATGCTACCTGAATTAGTGTCAAATTTGAGGGACCAACTGACATATCTTTTTGTTCTTTTACTTTTGCAGTGCTGGAAATGGAACCCAAGAACTCATGCATGTGAGGCAAGTGCTCCACCACTGAGATACAGCCCTAGCCCGTGACATTTTTTTAAAAAATCACCCTTTTTTTGCAACTCTATATGCACTGATGGCATCTACAGGCTGAAGAAAAATCTTTAGAATATCTCATTGTATGTGCCCTTTTATACTGTTTTCACTCAACTCTTGCTGATAAAATTCTCTTTCCCATCTATTGTTCTCCTCAATGTCTTCAACTTACAGTGGACCCTTGAGTTATGACTGATCTGACATATGAACAAATTGGGTTATGACCAGAATTTTAGTTTTAACATATGAACAAAGTCTTGAGTTACAACCTGAATGCCGGCCACTTGTTCTTCCAGTTGTTCTCAGATACAGATTTAACCCTTAAAGAGTTCTGGAAGGAACATTATAACATCCTTTCCTGTGTGAGGTTAATTGAGAAATCCTGGGCTAATGTCTCTCTAAGGACACTGAGATCTGCCTGTATATGGGAGAGGGACTTTGAAGGCTGTGTAGAGGAAACTGAGCCTTCAATTGATCAACTTGAGTTACAACCAGGCCTCAAGAACAAATTGAATGTGTAAGTCAAGGGTTCACTGTATGTGCTAAACCTGAAAAGAAACAGGAGTCATGCTGCTATCAATGAATAGGAAGCTTATAAACTTGATGTTTTAGTATATGAAGTAAAAACTCAATATAACCCACCTCTAAAGTCCTTGATAACCACCAGAAAACCATTGTGCATTTCCAGGAGGAAAAATAAAGTCTTCTCCAATTATATATGACTTTTTCAAGCACTTGCACTCTATATAAACTAAAAACTATTCCTAGTAAGTATTAATCTTTGATTTGTTTATTGAGATACAGTGTTCTTTCTTTCCTACTACTGCAAAAACAAAAAATTTCAGTAGTTAGGTTCAATAGGCTTTGGGCAACTAGCAAGGAAACCTACACCTACATTTTAACATTATTTCTATGGGAAAAATGGTCTTTATTCTAAACAACTGATATTCACAATAAATTTGAGAGCTCCACCTATTTGGAAGGTAGAAAATGTCCTATGTTGTCCATGTAGAAAACAGATATATTGACCTATTTTTATTAAGGTTTCTTTTCAAGAGCCTCAGGTTGGATGTGCTGTGATACGGGAATTAGTATTAACACTACCTGCCTCAGCAGCTAAACTGATTCTGGTTAAGGCCAAGAACACAGCAGAGTAAGACAGAGATGATTCAAGGACCAATGAACAGATTTTTTTTTTCAAGTAATCTTTTGAGATCTGTTCTATTTGGCCTCAGGTTGACAAGGCCCACGTGACCTGACTGGATTAGACTGGATCCTTGAGTGTTTGATCATCTAAATGAGCCTGACAAGAACTCTCTCCTTCGAGGACGACAGAGAAAGAAAGACTAGTGCAATCCACTGAAACTCAAGTCTCAGGACTAGACTAGAAAAGAACAAAATTCCAGAGGTGGAAAGTGGAAAACTAATTCTGTCAACGCTCATCTAATGACCACCTTTGTCTTATCAGGGCTTTACTTAGCTCTATTAGCTAACCAAGACAGCATCAATTTGTTGATAACTCCTATAACCTTTTTTTTAGAAATACAATTACATTTTATACTGTCACCTACATCTTATTCAAAAAGTTTAGGGTCAGGGATGTGGTTTAGTGGTACAGCACTTACTGGCATGCATAAAACAATTGAGTTTCATGGCCAGTACCTATAAAAGCATGTTTAAAGATCTCAAAGATACAATTGAACTGATGATAAAGAGGTGAATAAGGTTAAAATAAAACATTGTGTTTGTGGGCCGGGGATTTAGCTCAGTGGTTCTGCTGCCTGCCTCGCAAGCAGAAGGACCTGAGTTCGATCCCCAGTACCAAAAAAAAAAAAAACATTGTGTTTGAAACTACATACAAACCTGAGTATTCCATGACCTCCTCAGGGGATTTGCCCTCTACCTCTCTAGCAATATTATCAATGTCATCTCTTCCATACTTCTCATTAGCTTTAATAAACTGGTTAAAATCTCGCTTAGTCCAGTTTGTGAAACCCTGTGAAGAAAAAGTTACACACATCATCAGTAGAGGTTAAATCAATAAATCCATTTATTGTCCTACTAAAAGACAAATATTCTTTTGTATAAACTCACTTTTCAATATTGCAATCAAAAGTTGAATAAATTGTTATAGAAATAAATGCTTTTCTATTGTGAAGGAACACACTCCTTTCCATATTTTATAGATGTCTACTACGTTGAAATATAAACTTATTAAAATAAAATGCTAATATAAAAGCTAAAGTCCTAATAGTCTGCTACTTCAATGATTTTTTTTTAAAGATCCATCCTTGAGCAAATTAAGAGAGGAATGTGGATACATTAAATCAAAAGAAAAACTCTGTAGCTCTTTGAAGCATTCCAAACTACATAGAGTAATTTTTTATCAAGATTGTATTCATAAATAGAATTTCCATAAACAGAATATTATTGGTCCACTGAAGTTCTTTACTAAAATATAGAACAATTAGCCAGTGTTTAAAATCTTTGGGGCACAGTTAGCCTACCTGGGAAGTCACATACCAAGAATTTGCTTTCCATTCCATATGTTCCTAACCATAATTATCAGTGTAATACCCTAGATGCTGCAATTTTATATCCTTGGATTTTAGATGATAAAGATTGATTAATTTTCAGGAGCAAAGAAAGACAATTTAAAATCAACCATGAGGGGCAAGAATATTGATTATATTTCTAATTGCAAACTAAAACACTGTCTCAATTGAGACTGCATATACACATTATACCACACATCCAGAGCATATTGCAAGCCAGGTAGCATTTGAAGGCCCTAACTTTATTTTATGTTCAGAAAATAAATCTTTAAAATAAAACAAGAATGGGCAGGGGATTTAGCTCAGTGGTTCTGCTGCCTGCCTCGCAAGCTCAAGGACCCAAGTTCAATCCCCAGTACCAAAAAAAAAAAAAAATCAATATAATACAACAAGAATATTTAAATGTTTGATTTTATTCTATGATAAGTCCTAAAACTCAGCCAACTGTATTTATATTTTCAAGCTAAACTTTGTAATTTCCAGGCATTTGGCTCAAAAACTTCAGAATATACTTTGTAAAATTTCATTCACTAAAATTACATGTTATAACAAATAAAAGATGTACATGAAATAATAAATACAAAATCTATTTAATGGGCACATAATTGTACAGTCATAGGGTATAGTGTGGTATTTTGACACATGCATACAAAGTGCAATGAGTAATTGGCATATCCACCAACTCAAACATTTATCCATTTTTGTTTTGGAAACATTCAAAAACTATCTTTTAATGATTAATGTGAGAATTTTGTACTACTATGCCATACATCTTGTTTAAAAAAATGTCAAGAGCTGGGCATAGTGGCACATGACTGTAATCTCAGCACTCAAGAGGCTAGGCAAGAGGACTGCTGCAAGTTTGAGGTCAGCCTGAGCTACATCATGAGTTCAAGACTACCCTGAACTACAACGGAGTCCCTGTCTCAAAACAAACCAAAAAAACTTGAATAAATAAATTTTGCTAGCAACATCCATACTAAAGTGGTGTCAAACAGAACACATTTTTATTATTTTGCAAGAGTCTTTTATGCTGAACCTTTTTTTAATCTTCTAGAATTTATGTGGGAAATATGATACAAAACTCGCTAAAGCAATAATGACTTGAAACCATTAATGCTTTGTTCGAATAGAAATCTTCCCTATTTAATAATTGTTGGCTTTTAATTACACAATGATAATCTTAAAACATTTCAGATATCTCATGATTGTAGTAAAGTTCTAAGAAAAGATGAAATAAATTTTTTAAATTATGAAATTATTTCATAAACAAAAGAGTATAATTTAAGGAGACAATTCACTTCAATCAACAAAAGAATTTAAAGTTTCAAAATCACGTTAGCAATTCTTGTCTATCAGGATTCAATTGCAGATTCAATGATCTTATTATAATTGGTAAAAAGTATGTCATATTTCTAATAATTGGTACATATTTTCCATATATGATTTTCCAATATTTCCAAAGAAACATATTCTATAAAAAAGATTATTAAAAATAAGGATATATGGTCTAAATGTGTGCTTAGAGTTTTGTTAAGAGTGTCAAATCAGGATACTAGGCCAATATAATAAAAAGTGCTATCCATAGGCTTCTTTATTCTTATTGGTTGACTAGAAGTATTTCAGCCACTTAAAATAGTTTACTTGTGTGAGAAGTTTTTCCTTTTCTTCTGTCTCTTCTAATGTAAGAGGTTCGGCTCCATCAATCTTTTTTTGCTCTTCTCTTTGAACCAGAGCTGGATTCGGTATCTCAGGATTCCTTGGCACCTATTAATCAAGAGACGAGTGATGGATACATTATGAGAAAAATTAGTAAGGGTATATATATATGTATCAATCTTTATTGTTACTTCAATAGTAAACAGTGTAAAATCATAACCAGAATGACACAAGGTCCTCTCCACATTTCTAACTACGATATTATTAATCATTCTTGTGCCACAGGCATTTTAAAGTTAAAACCCATTTGTAAATGAGTGCCACATTATATTCTAGATTTCACTGTACTGTAGAACAAAGTATACCCTTGTAATGTTGTAGTACATGGAATAAGCAAAAAGTTTAGCAGTTCAAAAAAAGACCATATCCCTCTGGAACTAAATAGCAGGGTGGAGAAGTAGCAGTGCACCTACAGATGATATCTAACACCAACAGCTTCAACATGCGAAAAAGATGGAGTGCTTTTATTGCCTGCCAGGGTTTATCAAGGGAGAATATTTTTATATAAAATGAACAATCTAGAAGTGAAAAGAAAATGAAGAAGAAAAAAAACAAGAAATAAGAAAACTTAAGAGTGAAAGGAGTAGCAGAGTCTATCAATAGCTGCAATGGAACCAGCAGTCAAAGAAAAAGACTACAGCAGCAGTGACCAACAGCAACTATGATGTGTGGGGTATAGAGCTGCAAATACATTGACAGCTGAGAAGAAGAGAGCTTGAATGGAAACCACTGAGGACAGAAACTCAGCTTTCCAAGGAATCAAGTAGCCACTTGTATCTCAAAATTGTAGCCCAAAGGGCCTCAGTGTGTCATGATGTCATGGTGAGCACATACAACCAGTATGATTCAGCAGTATGGGGCAGCATTAATCATGTGGAGGTATAAACCAAGTCTCTTAGCCCAAAGCCTCATACCATCGCTGTGTGCACCTGCAGCTACAATGCAGCCCAGTGATTTAAGAGGGCAGGTACAGAACATGTGGAGTATATTTTTATAGCATTCCATTAAGCATGAAAATAAAAGGGTTGGCAGTAAGTCTTCCACTGTTTGGAATGCACTCATATGACAGCAACTCATTTTCTAGGGGTATCAAATAGTTAAAGTTTTACTCTAATGTAATTATAACACATATTATAGTACATTTTTCTCATTGTTATACGTACTTCATAAAGTTCAAACTGCATCGTTGTAACTTCAAATTGGGTATTTTTTAAACTACTGTATCAAATCGATCATCAGATATAAAATCTGGGCATTAAAAAGCAGATTCATTTGTAATCATAGTACCAAACAACCAAATTAGTATGCATTGCCTAAATATCGATTATGTCCATAGCATTATAATAAGTACTGATTGGAATACGAAAGAAATGTTGGACATGGTGTTGCCCACTAAGCGCTCACAAACTAGTTATAGAATTTTGAGCCATACCTTAAGAATCCTAAAGTTTTTGTGAGACGGAAGAATATCCTAGGCTGGAGCAGGATGAGCAAAAGCACGAAGGCAGGAATGTACAGTAAGGAGTATAGAGCACTTATGTTAGGGCTGTGAGTATGACTCATTGGTGGAACACTTACCTGGCGTGCGTGAAGCCCTGGGTTCCATCCCCAGCACCACAAAAAATGTGAGGACTTATACTGAGAAGGAACAAAACACAAGGCCAGGTACAGACATATTTAGCAGGCCCTGAAAGCACACATGAGGCACTGGAGACTTTTGAACAAGGGAGTGAAGTGTCAGAATATAGTGCTTTTGCTGTGAGCCTTGTGCTGGAAGGATTGAAACAGAAAAGCAACTAGAAGCAAGAGAACCTGCTAACTTTCATAACCTAAGTATGAGGTACAATCATCCGGCCTAGGATGGTGGCAAATGGAAATTAGAAAGAAGGTATAAATTCAAAATTAAATGTAGTCCAGTGATGCATTTTTTAGAAATTCTTTTTAACAGCTAAACTCAATTGTAAAATTATAGGCACACCAGCAACTTTATTCCCAAGGATTTACCACAAGAAATAAAAACATGTTTATGTAAAACCTTTTATAAGAATGCTCTCAGCAGCTTTACTCATAACAGCGCCAACCCAGCAAACAGCGCAGATGTCCATCAATTAAAAAAAAAAATGGGTAAGCAAACTGGCCCATCCATACAATGGAATAGTATTCAACAATAAAAAAGAATGGACCACTGATATATGAGACAGTATAACTGCATCTCTACAACATGATGCTAAATGAAAGAAGCCTCACAAACAATGCACGATTCCATTTCTGTGAAATTCTAGAACAACAACCTAATCTATGGAAGAAAGTAATGTTGGAATAGTAATTACCCCTGGAGAGTGTGTATGGGTACTGCCTGGGAAGAGACACCTTCTCAGGTTACAGCTGTGAATCTGTATAGAGGTTTGGAGTATGTAGGTGTACACGTTGGTCAAAATACATTCAATGATACACTTAATATTTATACATTTCCCTCTATGTAAATTTTATCTTAAAAAAGAAATCATAAAAATACTGAACTCTGGCTAATGATATACACATTGAAATGTTTCCAGATAAAATGTATTTATGCCTCAACTCTGAAATGCATTAAAACAGGAAAAATATCCATATGATAGAGGACTGGAGAAAAGTAAAACTAACTTAAAAGGCATATGCCATTAAAGATGTAAGTTATAAAATATATGTGGTGCATATATGACATTCACTGTACAACTATTTCCACATCCGAAAATTCTTAAGAATTGAAAAATCATAGATACAGCTTTAAAGTTTAATAGACCCCTTAAATTGCTGGTATATGAAATTACTTTGGCTTCAAATTTTAATTTAGAAAAACTCCGATTTTAAGGTATTTCTCAATCAATTATTTTCAAAATTTCTATGTTCAACAAACCAAATTATAACCAAATGAGGTATTTAATAAACATTTGATTTGTGGCAGAAAATTAATATACCCACATAAAATAAAATGTTTATTCCTACACAGATATTCCTGATACTAAAGATTTCCCCCTCTGAACTTCGAATAAAGGTAAAGTTAGAATATTATGTAATACTATTAGATTTTAGGATCCACTGAAGAAAATTTCTTTCATACCCACGGAACATATTTAATACAGAAAAGCTTAAGAATGACTTCATCAATACTCGTGTTTACTATCTAACTTCTAGAAGTGGAAATTATTAAAACACACAGCTGCTAAAATGTCCAGAATTAGAAATGATTTCAAATTCCTAAATTCCTATATCCCCTTCCTATTACAAAAATTTAGTATTCTTCATTTTTTAAAAGAACATACACTTTTTATCTCATGAGGTTCTCATTAACATTAAGCTTCCAGGAATGATTTCAAAGTGCAATATAAAAATTAAACAGACAAATTATAGACCAACATTATTAAACAGATACCCTAAGGGGCATCCAAAGTACTTTTAGTCTCTATTTTACTATGATGCCCAGCAACAGAATACATACATTAAAAATTGCTTTTCAAAAGGAAAGCTCAATTATTATTTGAACTTCTAGTCCAAGCCTAAACAATTAGTGATTAAGAGCTGTGAAATAGTGAAAATCTTTTTTGGGTCCTGGTTTCTTAGGAGTTGAGCGAGCACTTCATAGAAATATGGAATACTGCATGAACTATGACAGCACACAAAATGGAAGCAGTAACCTGAAATCAGCTCACCATATTTTAGTTCTGCCACTGCAAAACAGGTGGCCCACAATGACAGTTCTAACTCACAAAGATTATGAAACTTTCTCAAATTGTCAAATGTTTATATTTTTCCCTAAGGAATTCTTTATTAGGGATAAATGTTAGAATGTTCTACAGCTTTCTTCAGCTTCAAATAAGGCAAAACTTTCACTCTAAGTATTCAATTCAATGAAACTTCCAGATATTCTGGATTTTTATACTGCAATTTAAAACTGAATTAAGTCATCCTCTTCCAATGTAAAGACTTTAGTGAACAAGTGGTTAAGTCCTGAATAATAACTCCTTCAATTCCAAAAAAGCAATGAAGCTTCTGAATATTCCTAACTTGCAAAAAGGTCAAAGCTTAGATAGCACGAAGAATCGATACATAATGCACTACTAACCACCAAGTGATTAGGGCAGAACAAATACTTCTCTCAAATAAAACAAACCCCTTTAAGTCCAGGCCTTATTATCAGCAGTACTGCTGTGACCTTGCTGTGCTGAACACAGGAGGAAGAACAAAATAGATAACAAAACTGCAAACAAACAGGTTCTCAAAAAACATTCTTTCCCAAGGGCTACAAAACTAGCTAACCCCCACCCCAAATTACTACAGAATAAGACTTTGGGAACTCAAAATACATAAAAAATTACTATGAACCACATTGCCATGCCCCAAGCTATGGACAACATTTTTCTCCCCTTAGCCACCAATCATTTAAGCAGAAAAAATGGGAAGGAGTCCCCTTTTGACAGCCTGGGGGCATATATAGAATACCAGGTGACTCCACTATAGCACTCTTGTTCATCTGAGACTAAACTAGTGCTCTATTCCTCTTAGAGCCCTGGTGAGTCTTCCAGAGATATTGGGGAGGGGGTCAATGCTACATATTCCTTAAGTAGATATGTCTAACAGTTATATATCACACATCACCCTTGCAGCTGTTGCAGATGATAACATGCCATGCCAATCTGTCTAGAGTCTGAACTCAACATGAAACCCACCCAATTAAAGAACCCACCTTAGCTCAGGTCCATAGTTCCTGGTAAAGAACAAAAGAGACAAGGTTCAGAAAGGACCCACACCCAGAATGTATTCTTATTTGTCTTGTAAATCCTCAGCTAGGCATGCACAGGGGGAATCAAGGCAAGTCTTAGGACAATACAGAAGCAATCCAGAATGGGGTGGAAGAGATACAAGGCCAAGAGCAGAACAGTAGGGCACTGGGTCTCCCACCACCACCAGCACAGTCCAAGTTGCCACTATCTTCTCTCATTTTGATAGTTCAGTAGCCTCCTGACTGGTTTCCCCAGATAAACCCCATTCTCTGCATCACAGCCAGAGTGATCCTTTAAACATATAAATCTGATCGTCTTGTACCACTTATAAACTGTATGACTTTGGGCAAATTAGTCAACTTATGTCTCAGTTTCCTCATCTATAAAATAAGCATGAAGCTCCAGGGCTGTTCTGAGGATAATGAGCTAATATTTATAAAGAACTTGGAACAGTATACAACACAAATAGCCCAAATAAATATCTCTCACCACCTGTCCTGCCACCTCCCTGTCTTAGAAACATCTCAATGGTGTTTGCCCTTGCTCTAAAGTTCAGACTAATGCATGACCTATAATGCTCCACGTGATTGCCTCTACCATTGCACCAGCTGTATAGTTGCCTTCTTGCAGTTTCAGAAAGTGGCCTCCTTCTTCCCACCTCAAGGTCTTGTCACGGGAGATGCCCCTGCCAGAGCTCTTCTCTCCCACACTTCACATAGCTCATTCACATTGCTCTAATCTCAGCTTAAATGGCACTCACTTAGGGAATACTGTGGTGCTCTCTCAGTCCACATTAGGTAGCCACATTATGCTCCCTCACAGCACAAATAAGGACATCCTTACAACTAGCTGTTTGTTTCATGTCTGCCTCAGCCATTATAATTTAAATTCCTTGAGGTGAACAACCCTGTCTGTCTTAATCACCACTTTATCCCAAGTGCTTGGCACAGTACCTCAAGCAGACCAGTGCTCAATAAATAGGTATTAAATGAAAAACGTCCTATTTCACTCATTCTCCTTCTCTTGACACTTTTCTGGGAGGTGGGGAAGAGGTCACCATGAGGCATAATACAGCATGAGTTCCATGCCACCTTTCTTATCCCCACTCAGCCCTTCCCTCTCTTCTTATACTCTTCTCCCTCTTTCTTTCTATCATCATTCACAGCTGTGCCTTCATTCCCTAATCTTCTGAGGTTTCCTTCTCCATCTTCTTCCAGCTGGCCATCACCCAAAGACTCACTGTAAGACCTCACCCCTAACCACAAACTGCCTGTAATGAAAGACACTGTTTACATCCAAACTATATCTGTGGCCAGAATGTGGTGAACCATGTAATTATCTTAGAGAACAAAACTTCAGTATCTCCAAAGAAGGAGTATAAACAGTTTTATCACCAGGAATGATTTCTTTATTGCTGCTACTTGACTACCACTTGGCCTACCTCCCAAATGTCATGTCACACCACTATAAACACAGTCCTTATTTAGGATGTTGGAAAGAAGCAGGGTTATATCACATGCAGAAATAGCCCAGAATGTCTGAGTGGAAAGAGCAGAACATTTGAATACTGAGAACTGGGTTTGAGATCAGCATCCACAGCCACCTTGACCAAGGCCACTTAACCTCTCTGAATTTCCTCACCTATTATATTGAGATAATAATAATACATATTTCATGAGGCTGTTAGGAATCAAATGAAGCACTGTTAAAGTATTTATAGACTATAAAATGTTCTACACAAACATTTGGTGTATTAACTACCTGAGGTCTAACAATTCAATATATTATCAAGTCTCACTAGTACCAGTCAATAAAAGTACAGAAAATAATGTTCTAAATTTGTATTATAAACATTTTATTAAGATAATATCTACTTATTTGGCATACGAAGCTAAGCACTCTATTATTTTAACTGCTTTTATTTTTTCATTTTGAATCTATAATCTACCTATTTATTCTGACCTGCCACTTTTTTCACTTTCTTTGAAATTGGTCTTATGCCTGTTACATTACAAAGCTACAGTGGTTTAAAAAATAGCATGATACTGGTGCAAAAACAGACATAAGGATCAATGGAACAGAACAGAAGAAGCAAAAACAACCCAGGCACAATCAGCCATCTGATCTTTGACAAAGGAGCCAAAAACATGCTGGAGGAAAGACAACCTCTTTAACAAATGGTACTGAGAAAACTGGCTATATGCATGCAAATCTAGACCCATGACTCGCAGCACATACTAAACTAAACTTAAAATAGATCAGAGATCTAAATATTAGCTGAGTGTGGTAGCACACGCCTGTGATCCCAGCACTTGAGAGGCTGAGGCAGGAGGATTGCCATGAGTCTGAGGCCAGCCTGGGCTATAGTGGGGCCCTGTCTCAAAAAAAAAAAAATCAAACATCTAAATATTAAAATAAACAATCTGGTGGTGGAAACAGGTAAAACTTTTAAAATAAATTTTAGTTTATCCCATTTCCTCCCCCTTATGCCCCTTCCCACCCTATGTACAAAAGCTTTGTTTCCATTTTTTCCTCCTATTTTCACTTTTTTTCTTGTCCCTTCCTTCTTTTCTCCCTTCCTCCTCCCTTGTTCCCCTTCCCATTTGAACATTTTCTTCCCATTTCCCAATATCTATTATACATTTTAGTCCTTATTTCCACTTTTGGTTTTTCACACCAGAGAAACAATGCGGTATTTAAACATGTGTGTCTGATTTATTTCATTGAAGAGTATGGTCTCAAGGTCCATCCATTTAGCTATGAATGTCTGAAGCTCATCCTTCTTTATGGCAGAGTAGTACTCCATTGTATAAAAAAAACACATCTTTTCTACTTGTCGACTGATGAGCATTTGGGGTGTTTCCAAAATTTAGCTATTACACATTATGCCGCTATAAACATGGGTGTGCATATATCGCTGTGGTATGATGCTTTTAATTCTTTCAGGAAGATACCAAGAAGAGGTATAGCTGGGTCAAATGGAACCTCTGGTTTTAATATTTTGAGAAATCTCCACACTGATTTCACAGTGGTTCCACCAGTCTACACTCCCACCAACAGTGGAGGCAAAACTACTGAAGATGTAGTTGTAGACAAAGACTTCCTGAACAGAACTCCAATTGCACAAAAAATAATGCCAACAACCAACAAGTGGGAGTATATTAAATTTAAGAGCTTCTGTACAGCAATGGAAACAACCAATAAAGTGAAGAGGCAACCTACAAAATGGGGAAATTTTTTGCCAGCTGTTCCTTGAACAAAGGACTATTACCTAGAATATATAAAGAACTCAAAAAAATAGACACCCAAAATAAAAGACACAATCACAAAATAAGCAACTGAACTGAACAAGCACTTCTCAGAAGAAGTACAAATGGCCAATAAATACATGGAAGAATGTTCAACATCTCTGGCCATTAGAGAAATGCAAATGCAAACAACACTGAGATTCCATCTTACTCCAGAAAGATTGGCTATTATCAAGAAATCAAATAACAACAAATGCTAGAGAGGATGCAGAAAAAAAAGGAACCCTTGTACATTGTTGGTGGGAATGTAAACTAGTATAACCACAATGGAGATCAGTATAAACATTTCTGAAAAAACTAAAAATAGAGATTCCATTAGACCCAGCTATTTTTCAAGTAGGCATCTTCCCAAAAGAGTTAAGACCTTGTATTACAGTGACAAATGCATACCCATGTTTACAGCTGCACAACTCATAATATCTGAATCTTGGAAGCAGCCTATATGTCCATCAACAGATGAATGGATAAAGAAAATGTGATACTGTACTTATACACAGTGGAGTATTACTCTTCCAGAACGAAGGATAAATCTGAGTAATTTGTAGGAAAATAGATGCACCTTGAAACCATAATGTTAAGTGAAATAAATCAGACATACAAGCTTAAATATTGCATGATTTCTCTTATATGAGAAACCCAAAGTATAAAAAAATTAAAGAGCAAAATAAATGACAGATAATAGGAAATAGAGATAGATCTTTCACAAATGCAAAGGGGACCAAGAGATGGAAGGAAGAGGAAGGGAAGGAAGGCGAAGGGGACATAAAAAGAATTAAGATGTGTTATATATATGTATCAACTTCTCACAATGAATGTAATCATCATGTACTGCAAATACGTACTAATAAAAATGCAAAATTAAATTACAAATAAAACAAAAAAAATAATGTGTTATTATAGGTACTAATCTGGTGAAATATTGGATAATTCGTCATTAATCCCTATTAGTGATGATCCTCTTGAGTGATTCAGCAGTTTGAGACATTACTTCTAGTTAAATCTCTCCTTTGGTTTTAAAAATGTTGTATTTGCTTTTACTCACATTAAGATGGAACACCTAGTCTAGATTAACAGTTTATAGTATCTTAAAAGGTTATATCACACTAATCTAAAAATTGAAAAATTACCTTATAACCTATTGTCTTCCGATAATACAGAATTTCCTTTTCCAGGAGCTCAAATAAACGTGGTGGGAAAAATTGAAAATCCTGAACATTTGGCTGTTTTGGAGGACGTGGAGCCTGTGAGGGGAAAATGCATTACATATATATTTGTTTTAATGAATTATAGGAAGTGAACATATTTAATTTTACTATTTTTATATAAGGAAAAATAAATACAATGGAATCTGTTTATATGGCTAGGCCATATCAAGTACTTTATTTTATTGTTAGATTTGAGGGACTATGATTTGACAGTGCTATAAATAATACTAAATCATAGACCGTGTTACAAGAAAACTTGTATGATAGGCCATAAAAACTGGCCTTGGGCTGTTTTACCTTTGGAATCTTTGGCTCACTGACACGCAAAGCCTCTCTAAAGTAGGCATCCACTGCGTAGTTTGCTTTGCGTTCTCGTTTAGGAGGTTCAATCCATTCCACCATACCAAGCTATGTACGACAAGCAAGAACAAGAGCTTTAATTACTCCAAATTGTTTTATCACCATGAAGTACATCAAGGCTGAAGAAGCATGAGAAAACCAAAGCTGTTAGAATCAAAACATGCCTTATAAACCACAACTGTGCCTCCCAAGTTCCAGAACCTGTACTGTACACCAAGTTTAGGTGCAAAGGTGATTTTCATTTCCTTTGTGAAAGTAGTTTAAAATTTAGTTCTTGCTTTGTCATTGAGAATTTGCATATAATCTGCTTAGTATTGTGTCAATTTAAGTAAATAGTAACTAACATAGAAGAAAAAAGTTAATGTTGGTTCTGGTTACTGAGGTGAGTGCATGAATTATAAAATAGATGAGAAGGATAATGAAGAATATCAAGATGACAGGCATTTATCCTTCCTCCCTACTTCAAATCAAGAGAAATGTTCAAATGAAAACTTCTGGAGAGGTAGCTGAGGTATAGTGTGGGAAAAGTCAGTGGAATTAAAAAAGACCCAGATCTGAATCCAAATTCTGTCATTTTACTAGCTGTAGAACTTGGGAAATGATTACTTTTATCTGAATTTATATCAGAATTACTGTATCAGAATAACTTTATCTGTCTGTAAAATGAGAATAATAATACCTACCTTGAGGATTAAAAGCAACCATATGGGGCTGGGGTGTAACTCGGTTGTGGAAGGCATGCTTAGCACATGCAAGGACCTGAGTTTAATTCCCAGCACCAAAAAACGAACAAACAAAAGTGACAAAATTCATGAAAGCATTAGTTAAATGGCCAAGAGTTAAATATAAAGTATTATTAAACATCCAAAGTAGTGTGAACAATAATTTGATAACATTACAAAATTTTACTCCATTATCAGCCAGAAAATATATCTCAATATTCAAGAGACAAAACTAACATTGCAAAGTTCTGGAGTTTGAGGAATGGGTTGCTAATACATATGGTTTTTCTTGACTTCACAGTGCTTAGCCCTGTGACATTACAAAAAAAATAAGCCATTAATGACCTAGAAGAAGCCACTAATCTACTATTAGTTGCCCCAATCTACTTGTTCTGATCTAAGGGCTAAGTTCCAACCTTAGCATTATTTTAAGAGTGGTTGATAAACTAAGATGGCAAGGATGGTTAGTGATCTACAAACCATCTGGAGAAGTAAAGACTTAAGTCAGACATCATGGTGGCATTCATATACATGAATGTCTATACAACAGAAAAGAAGACAGTTCTCTGTTGATCTACAAGATAAAAACCAGTATGAAGATTTACAAGAAAGTAGATTTCTTCTCAATATAATTTAACAACTATGCATTATGTACCTACTGTATCACCTGCAAGTCAGTGTCCAAGACAGAAAGATGAATAAAATAATCTCTTTCATCAAGGAACATATAAATCAGGATGGGGTTGTGCTCACTGGTAGACCACTTGCCTGGCATGCTCTGGGTTCAATCCCCTACACCACAAGAAAAGGTCCTTATAAGTCAAGTAAGATGTTTTCTGAGAATCAGAAATATAAAACAGTGAAAGGAACTATCCTGGGAGGGCTAAAACACCCAACACTGTAACATTCGAAGAAGTTGGATATCTGTCCTAGATGCTCTCTGTGGGATTTCTTAATTACAAGAAGGGTTAAAGTACATGACTTTTAAGGTCTATTCCAAGTCCAAGAAGCTGAGTTATGGATATTATACTGTGATGTTTAAGTAAAATAAGAAATACCCACAGCTGGGGCTGAGAGTGTAGCCCAGTGGTAGAGTGCTTGCCTAGCACATGCAAGGTTCTGGGTTCCACTACCAGCAGTGCAAAAAAGGAAGGAAGGAAAGGAGGGAGAGAGATAGGGAGTGGGAGGGATGGAGGTAGAGAAGAAAGGAAGAAATACCCACCACAGTGTAATGAATTTTGCTTTTCATCTCAGATGGACTAGCATGAGTTGATAGTAACAGAAAAGAAACGCTATAAACAACCAAAATTTATTTTTCTCAATTAAAGTGAAAATAAATTACTGGTAGCTTTAATTAACTTTCTTAAAGTAATATATTTGGTCATTTAATCTATACTTATTTGAAGGTCTGGGTATTCAAATTTGGAATAAATGTTAAAGGCCAATTCCTGAAGTTTGAGAAACAAACCATGCTGAATTAGTTTGTTTTACATGAGAGTACATTAATAATAATTTATTCAAGTTAATTCACTGAGGATTAAGGTCAACCATTATGACCTAATTCACTAGGTATGGTAATGAAATAATGCTGCAGGTTTAACAAATGATAAATTAAAATTCACCTTAACATAAAATTCCTATGATTTATAAACAATATTCCCTCAGATTTTCAGTTTCTTTCAAAGGGTAATTTACGAACGTATCCAGAAACTAATTTACGAGCCTATCCAGAAAACACAAATGAACAGAAATAAAATATAATCTCACTTCAGAATATCAAAAAACATCTGATTTTAGACACTACTATTATTGTCAGGCATTCAAATCAAACTGCAAATTATCATATTATTAACATTTGTCTATATTTTTACATCGTTATTTTGCTAGAATTAAAAGCACAGGAAAATACGTTACATTAGAAATAGACAATTCTTTTACTATGACTTGTTTTCCTCTAAAAAGTGTGGAAGAGGCTGGGGATGGAGCTCAGTGAGCCAGCACATGCACAGCGTGTGGGAGGCCTGGGTTCATCCCCAGCACCACAAAAAAGGGTACATAAAAGGCTTCAATGGTATTTAGACTCTATTAATTTTTTCCCACTTTATAAAATACCTTCTAGTACACATAAGCCCATAGTAATAATTGCAAAATTCATAAAATTTATATCACATAATTGTATCTAAAAAGCATATTAGAAAAGCAATTTCTACCCTGTAGAGACAGGCCATCACCCCCATCTCAGCAGGCTGGAACATAAGCAGACTTAGTTAAGATTACAACAACCATACAAATATAAGTCAAGAAACAAAAACAACAAAAAATTATCAGAAGGAAATGACAGCAACAAGCATTAGCAGCACACTAGTTGCAATGCAAAAAGGGTTCACTTCTTATTATTCAGTAAATGCAAGACATATGAGATTTTTTATTTTAACAAGATGCATTTCTATCAGTTCAAAATTATAACAGCCTTAATGAGCAATTTGAGCAACAAAATAAATAATGATAGAACTGGATTATAACAAAAAGTAAATATCCATGAGTTCATACTGATATAAATATCTGAAATAAATAAGTGAGTGAGGAGAAAGAGCAGCTCTTTCTTACTGAAAAACCTCAATTTGTAAAAATAGATGGAATGAAGTAAATACAAAATTGGAAGTAGGCAAACACCACAATAATAACTGTTGCAGGCAAACTCCACCAATAGGTGCTATGATCAGTAGGTGAAAGTCTGAGATCTTCTCCCCCAAGATATCAATTACAAAAGGGGAAATGGTAACTTTACAGGGGAGAAACTCAGCAGATAGTACCTCAACTAAATGATCAAGTTTAACATCATCAAAGATAAGACGTAGCAGCATCATATATGCCCTGATACATTATACTGAGGACATAATATCCCTTCTGTGGTGTCCTTGTCAAAAATACATAATCTCAGTCAAATCATGAGAAAAATACCGCACAAAGCCAAAGAGAGAGATAAACTATGACATAACAGATAAATACTCTCCAAAAGTGTCGAGGTCATGAAAGGCAAACAAAACCTAAAGAACTGTCAGAGACTAGAAGAGACTAAGGATACACAGCAAGAAAAATGCAGTGGGGGCCAAGAGAATCAGAAGAATCAAGCCACACACTGAGAGAAATATTTGTAGAAGACATATCTGATTAAAGGACCACTGTCCAAAATATACAAGGGACTCGTAAATCTCAACAATAAGAAACTAAACCACCCAATTAAAAAAGTAAGAAAAAGACCTGAACCAAAGAAGATATTCAGATGGTAATTATGTAGTGTATATGAAAATGTATTCGACATGTCATTAAGAAATTGGAAAATAAAACGACAATGAAATACACTACACACCTATTAGAATGGTGAAAATCCACAACACTAACACCACCAAATGCTGACAAGGACGTGAACTAGCAGGAACTCTCATTCCCCACTGGTGGGAATACAAAACAGCACATCCGTTTTGGAAGACAGGTTGGCAGTTTCTTACAGAAGTGATCACACTTTTGCCACAGAAGCCAGCAAGTATGCACCTCGGTATTTATCCAAAGGAACTGAAAACTTACGCCCACAAAAAAACTGTACACAGATGTTGACAGCAGCTTTATTCATAAATGCCAAAACTTAGAATCAACCCTGATGCCCTTCAACAGGTAAATGGGTAAATAACAGTGGTAAAACCAGACAATGGAATGTTTCTCAGTGCCAAAAAGAAATGCACTATGATGCCATGATAAAACACAGAAGAAACACAAAGCAAAAGAAGCTAATCTGAAAAGGCCACATACAACTATACAACATTCTGGAAAAGACATACTATGTAAAAAGTAAAAAGACCACTGGTTACCAGGGAGGAGGGATGAGCAGGCAGAGCACACGGGATTTTTAAGGCAGTGGATATATGTCCACACGTGTCACAATCTATAAAATGTACCACACCAAGAGAGAACACTAATGCAAAGGATAGTCTTTTAGGGATAATGATATGTTAACACAGGTTCATGACTATACCACATGTACAACTCTGGTGTGAGATGATAACGGTAGAGGTGGCCATATGTGTGGGGAGGACAGGGCACATAGGAATATAGTACATTCCACTTAATTTTGCTGTGAACCTAAAACTGCTCTTTAAAATAAAGTCTATTGTTTTAAAAAATGCAAAGTTCGCCAGGTGTGGCACACACCTGTAGTCCCAACACACTGGGAGGCTAAGGCAGGAGCACTCAAGCACAGCCTGAGCAACTTAGCAAGACCTGGTCTCAAAATAAAAAATAAAAGGCTGAGGATATAGTTCAGTGCAAAGGCTCTACATTCAATCTCCAGTATAGAAAAAAGAAGGTAATGTGTGATCCCAGATTGGATCCACAGGAAAAGGAAAATGACATTAGGGAAAGAAAAACTAGTGTCCTAGAGTCAATAATTAAACTAACACATTAGGGGAAGTTCAGAGAATAATATATGTAAACTCTGTACTATTTTTGCAATCATTCTGTAAGTTTAAAATCATTTCAAACATCAAAAGCTTTAAAATTATAGCCTTAGCTGGACAAGATGGGCCATGCCTGTGATCCCAGCACTTTGAGAGGCCGAGGCAAGAGGATCACAAGTTCTAGCCCAGGTTGCAACTTAGCTTAGCGAGACCCTGTCTCAAAATAAAAAATGTCTAAGAATGGAGCTTAGTGTGAAGGTCCTGAGATCAATCCCCAGTACCACAAAAAGTAAAATAAAATTACAGCCTTAATTTCAGTATAAAGAAACAAAACAAATAGAACCCTCTCTTTTGCCACAGTTCCTTGATGTATATTACAAGGTATTATTTTCAAAAGAGACCACACATAACAAAGTTCTTGTGAAGTGTAATTAACTAAATGTTAATAGTTAATAGTTATTCCTCATCTAGTTAATACTAAATCCCAAGCATTTTGCTAATTACTTTACAAATAATGATTTCATCAGAATCACTCTATAACTATTACAACTTCCATTTGAAAAGTGAGAAACTGAATACCCAAAGTCATTTAATTAGTGATAGAGCTGAGATTTCAGCTTGAGTTCAGAACTCAGCAACAATCTTGTATTGCTTTTTAACAGCAAAAGTAGTAATACAGGTTGCATATCCAAAATCTGAAAATCTAAAATTCAAAATATTCCAAAATTCAAAACTCTTAAAAAACTTCTTGAAGCATTTCAGATTTCACATTTTCAAACTAGGAACGTTCAACCAGTAAAGTCTACGCAAATATAAAATCTGAAAATATTTCCAATCCCAAACATTTCAGGTAAGTGATACCTGTAGGGGCAGCAGCAAGTGATAATGATAATACTGAATCAAGATACATTAAAGATAGCTTTTTCAGGAAATTGTCTGAACTACCTCAAATTTCACTCTATAGCAGAGTATTGTATTAAGTAAGTGCCAGTGTTATTTTATAATTCTTATGGGGAGAAATGCCAATTTGGGAGTGTAATGGCTAAGAGTAAAATGTTACCTTCTGTTTTTCTCTATAATCCTCTCCTTCAAACTTGTACAAACTTTGTTCAATGTCCATTCTAAAATTTCTTAGAGAAGATTCTCCCATTTTATGCAAACGTTCATTCATCTCTGCAGTCTGAAGTTGAATACATTGAAATTAGAAAATTATCACTACATTCATTGTAAAAACATGAATTCTCTACCTTTTTAAAAGTCAGCTTTTGACATTAAATATCTAGTCTGTTAATTTAGAAGGTAAGAATGTAATGCTAACATCAAACTTGAATATAAATTTAACCTGTCCTAGGCTGAGGGGGTAGTTCAGTGGTATAGCACTTCTCTAGGATGTATAAGGCCCTGGGTTTGATCCCCAGTATCACAAACTAAATAATAAAACTTTTAAAATTTACCTTCCCTCAAGTATTTTAAATACTTGAATGGTGCTTCCTAAATATTTTCGCTTAGACTCTCTTTAAAATCTTTCATCATTGCAAAAGGAAACACATTATAATATCCATTATATAATCTTTTTACTTCCTCTCTTTCAAAATTCTTTTTTTTTATTCATTAAGTTTATTGGTACATTTTAGGTATACAATATGATGACATTCATCATTGGGAATTTGTACCTTTACATGATATATCTTGGAAAACACAGAAACAAAATCTTTGTAAATAGGGAGGGATGGAGGTGTTGAAGGGAGGGCAGGGAAATGGGGAAAAGTAAGATCCATTATATAATTTTAATAAGACAAATAGCTAATGTTAAAATAAAAGCAAAGTTGAACTAAAACCGTGTTTTGCATACTATTATGAAATATCTTAACATAAGACTAAGACTGTTCAAATTCAGGATATGACCCTCAAATTAAAAATGTTCTGAAAAACAAATTTAATAAACATAGTGATGAAGATTTGAGTATGGTTTGTCCCCAAAATCCAATATGCTGGAAGGCTGGTCCCCAGCATAATGGTAATGAAGTGCTAGGGCCTTTAAGAGATGGTGATTCAGACTTTAAGATGGATTACTGCTTTTCACAGGTATGAGTTGAGTCCCATGAGAGTGTACTTTTGATTTTATGTGACTGAATTAATTACCACAAAGTGGGTTATTAGAGAACCAGTTTGGCTTCCTCTGTCCACTTTCTTGTTTCCTCTCTCACCATGTGATTTCTATGCTATCAGCTATCACAGAAACCAAAGCCAGAACTACGCTCTTGGACTTCTAAACCTTGGAGGCAAATAAATCTCTTTTGTTTATAAAAGACTGAGCCTCGGGTACTTTGTTGTAGCAACATAAAATGGACTAAAATAGTTCACAAGAGGGAACATGTCAAAAAGCACCCTTGATATGGAATCAGCAAAATCCATACTTTGAGTAACTCAAGAGGAAAACAATCCAGTTTCTGCACCAAATAAATTAGAAGGAGAAAAATACATAAATGAAAGGGGAAACTATACATTTAAAAGACATGAACAATATATTGAGAAATTGCCAATTGTAGACTGATTTTTTAAAGAAGAATGACCTTTCTAAAGTGTAGGCCAGTCATGGTGGCACATGCCTGTAATACCAGCACTGAGAAACTTGAGCAGAAGGATTACCACGAGTTCAAGGCCAGCCAGGACTACACAGTGAGTTCAAGGCCAGCCAAACTACATAACAAGACCCTGTCTCAAAAATACCAAAAACAAACAAAAAAAATGAATAAAGGGGAAAATATTTATGAAACAATTGGAAATGTGAATACATACTAGATATTTGATGTTATTAAAGAATTACTGGGGTGGGCCAGGGATTTAGCTCAGTGGTTCCGGTGCCTGCCTCGCAAGTGCAAGGTCCTGAGTTCGATCCCCCGTACCAAAAATAAAATAAAATAAAATAAGGATAAGAGAAGTAGTTGGATATGGAGAGATGGGCCACATAACATAGGGTTTGTACATATGGATGGGATGATTTCCAAAGTACAGTGGGAAGCTATA